AATAACAATCTAAAATAAAATAGAAAACTCAAGTAATTAGAATTTCTTACATTATAAATCCATACTTAATGAGAAAGAGGTAGATGATAAATAACCATAGATATAACAGAGCCATTTCAGAAACAATGCTCAGGAGACACTATATTCTAGCATGAGTAAATTTAAATATGTCTCATATAACTTTCACATTTTAATACATAGATTGGGAATTCCCACCTGGAGTAGTGATCCTGACATTTCTGAACTTCTGAATGATCAACTTTCAAACATTGTTTATACTTTTAATTTCAAATAAATGTATGGCATCTTATTCCTGGCAAGTGGATAGTGCATATCAGGTAGCTTATAATCTCCCTTCACAAGCAGTATTTAGACATTTGGAAGACCAGAGAAATTTCTGTGCGCTCTAATGAACCAAAAAAAAAAAAAAACGTGCCAACGCACACTCAAGAAATCCCCCACTAAACTAATGAGTGATCTTCTACAGAAGTGAATGTTCATAAATATCTGTCATGCAAAAACTGCCATCTTCCACCAACAAAGGAAACTCTTTGTAAAAAGACAGAAGGAAGGAGATCAGCAATCAAGCCAGGAATGGCGGTATCTTGAGGTTTTAATCAAAGAAGGAAAGAGGGCATGAGCTACATGACTTCACAGTGAGTTGTTGAAACAAACAGAGACAATCCTGTATAAATATTCCGCTCATAAAGTCGGTGTTCATCCAATACTCAGAAAGTGTTCCTCTGTTATCTTGCTTTCCTTATTCTCCAGACTCCAAATCTGACTCCCAACATGCAAAAGACCTGACTTTCTGAATAGGGGGCAGGAAGGAAGGAGGTGGCCATGTGTCTACTTTGTAATGACTGAAATCTTTCTACCCTCCTCTCTGTCGCTATTAAAAATCTCTGCACACACTAGAATCCGATTATTTACCTTTGTGCAGGTGGCGTGGCTTGCGTGGCGTGGACCCTTAGAACTGAGAACGTGGGCTTTTGGCCTTAAGAGTATGGAGGTCCCTGGACACTGAGGTTTCATGCGGTATCACGAGTAGTTGATTAGGAGGCATTCGCTGTTGTAAACCTGACTTAATACAAGTCTAGAATATTCTCCACACACACACACACACACCAGCGTATGCCATTTGATCAACAGCAGACCAATTGTCAGGTTCCATGATCACTTGGTTAATTGATCATGGAGATACCACCCTCTCCTGAGACAGTCCTTCGATGCCTCACTTGACTTTGATTAATAGGAAAAAACAATTGTGTACCAGATTATTTGTCAGTGTACCTGGGAAGACTCACACTGGAGTGTTTAGGTGGGATTCACGGATAAGGGTGAGACAGATTAGTGCAGACCTGGCCCAGTAGTGGCTGGAACTGTACCCTGGAGACCAGGGTGACCTGTGATGCTCCCTTTTCTGTCTCTGTTCTTAATGTAGAGGTGACAAGCCATGTCTTATCATGGTTTCAGTGATTGAGTTCCTAAGTTTATATGCAAATCAAGTACAGGTTGGTAATTTAGCAACAAAATCTTGCTGACTGAATTTAACCCATCACAGATCAGAATAAAATAGATCATTAAGGCTAACAGATAAACAATATCGACCAACATGCTATTGTTTTATTTTGTTAGTCTTTTTAAGTGTCCTTTTCTCAGAAAAAAGAAAATGCTGGCCATCATGGTAGCCTGTGAGCGATAAGACAAGCAGGCAATGCGAAAGGAAAACAGTGAATGCATAGAAACAGTGATATATTATCAGAAAGTAAAGAAATTTAAAGACATGATCATCTATATTTATGAAAGTCATGTCATTGGTCTTTGGTTGAAAATCTTTTAAGTTAGTAACTTAAACATAATTTTAAAAGACCACAGTAAAATTCAACAAAATGCCTGTATTTTGTCCAAAAATTATTTTCCTATATGGATGAAATAACTGATCTATAAGTCAAAACAAATTTCAAAGTAAACATTCAAAAAATGTCAACATTCACTGCATCACCCAAATCACCAGCAGAGCAAATATCCCCAACAGGTAGCACTGGATTCTCTGAGAAGACATGGGATTAGGGCTATCTCAGCCTCCTCCACCAGGCCACACCTCCACCTGGCCACACCTCCACCACAGCCCCAGGTAAGGGCTGGCCCAAAGCCTACAGGGCAGGAGACCTGCCTGCCCCCATTCAGCATAATATGAAGCACTTATTTGTCAGTAAAGGGTATAATATTTATTCCGCAAATATGTTTCCATGTGATCATTGTCTATGATACAATTAGCCTTGTACCCAGCTTTTCTTTCCCCTTTTGGGAAGATCTAAAATTTGCTTTTGAAAAACATGACTTCTGCCCATCATTAATCAAATCTCTGTGCATTTTATTGCAATTATTTGTATGTGGAAATGTAGTTTTGAACAAAAACATAAAAGATTATGTATCCTTTGAAGTAAAATATATTTTGCTTGGGAAGTCCATAGATCTTGAATCCATAAAGTTAGTAACATACATTATTAACACTGAAAATGAACTATTAACATTTTGATAATTGCCATACGATTTGGGATAGGACTATACATTTCACAGTATGTGCTGAGTTTTCCTCTCTTATGGAACCCACATAACTTCACCAAACCATCTGTGAGAAGTTCTGTTATTTGAATTCCTCTGAAGACTAAGGATATTCAGTATTCTGCTGGAATAAATAAAGCTGCTACAATCTTTATATATATATATATATTCTCCAAAATAATCAAGGTCAATTTAGTTTAAAAAAAAAATTGACTTGGTATTAAAGGACAGTGAAACTGTCTCAACAGTAAACTCTGAAGTTTGCAGCTCTCAAGTAGAAAAGGAAGACAAACGCAGTGAATCCCTACAGAAACAGGCCTTGGCTGTTTCCTAGGGGCTGTCCTCGGAAAACAAAGCCGCACGCTGCATATGGAAAGAGATGCTCTGGCAATGGAAATGCACATCCCACACACCTCGGGGGGACTGGGGTGGCAGAAGGACATTTCAAAGACTGCAAATGCCAGTCATCCAAGAAGCATGCAGCGCTCCCCCTCCCAGACGGTCTCATCACCAGGATGGCCTCTTCCCTTTTCATGGCCTGAAATCCTGGAACGCGCAGAGGCGAGCAGGATCCTACAGACCGCAGCGCCCTGGGTGCAAAGGGAGTGGGGTGCTCCGTGCTGGGTTCCTTATTCTCCTGCCCTGTCCACGGTGACTCTGTGGAGGAAGCTCCACATTCCCCGGGGGATTTAAACCACCCATTAGCTTATGATGTCTGAGGTGTCAGACGCAATTGAGATTTCCAAGAGGAAGGAGGGGCGAGAAGGCTGAGCCAGCACCCTGTGGGAGAGCAAAGGGCTTCAAAGGTCAAGTTCCCGAGCTGGTTCTCCACTCCGGGCGCTCAGCTCCTGGCCTCTCTCGGGCTGGAGGCTGTGCGGGGGGCGGATCTGAGCACTGCGCCCCGGCAGCGAGCAGCCCCTGCAGCTTCACACGTGGGTTCCCTCATCCCCTGGAAAAGGAGACGCTTTCCTCGGCCCCAAAGCAGCTCCAAGAACCTGGCCGGGGCTCGGTCGCGCGCCTGCTCGCTTCTGCCCCGCGGGGTGCGCAGCCGCGCGCCGAGGCGCCGGGCTGGGGAGGGGGGGCCTTGTTGTCACCCCGTTTTCCACTTTCCACTTTCCCAGTTCCAGAATGGGCCCCTGCGTCCTTGGGGTACAGTGTGCATCTTGCGCAGCAGAGGCGGCACAAAGAGGCGAGTCTGCCTCGCCTCCTGCCCCCACACCTGCACCCACCAACTCCCCACAAAGCGGCTTCGGGGTGCCTGGGGATCTTCCTCTTCCAGGGAGTCCTTCCCACCTGATCCAGTTTTCTAAGGATGCCTTCGGCTCGCATGTTCTTCTTCCCTTTTTACTGAGAAAAGGACCAAAGTCCTGCCTCCTCCTCCCGCCTCCAAGTCCCAGGGTTCGTCCACGCAGCGGGGCGCGCAGGCAGGATCCCCGAGCCTCGCAGACCTGGAGCTCCGCGGGCACGGAGGTCAAAGGCCAGCCCTGGAGGCGCGAGAGCCCGAGCCCCCCAACTCAGTTTCCCCGGCGGCTCCGCGTCGGCCCTCCTCGGCGGGTGTGGGGGGCCAGCTCCGGCCGCGCGCTCCCCCCGGGGACCGGCCCCTGGCGGTCCAGACCGGCCCCCCTAGTCCCAAGGTCGATCCAGCCCCGGCAGTTCTGGGTTCAGGTGCCCGCCCCCCTCTCCAGCGCCCCGGCTCCCCGCCCCAGCTCCACGGCCGTCCTTGGTTGGGCTCCTCTTACCTCCACCTCTGGTCACTAGACAAGTTTGGAACCCCCGGGGTGCCCACGGTTCCCTGCTCGAGTCGGGCAGAGCACCTTTCCAGGGAAGAACTGCGCGCAGGTCTCCATAAACTTTGCCGTCGCGAACGCGCCCGGCCGGCGGCCGTGGGCACACACCTGCCCGCGCGCAGGTACACACACCTGTCCGGGCGCGCGGGGCGGGCGGGGAGCGGCCCGGGCACCGCTCGGGGCGGCGGGGGCTCGCGGGCCGTCGCCGGCGGGCGCCAGGGGAGCCTCAAAAGGGAATTTGCAAACAGGCTTGGGCAGCCGGGGCTGGAAACGGTGAGTGTAAACAGCCGGCAGCGCCTGCCCCCGCCGCGCCAGGGCAGCCCCCGCCGGGCGCACACTCCCGGGGACGCGCCGGGGTCGCCGGCCCCGACCGCCGCCCCCGCCCGGGGCACCCCGTCTCCGCGCGGACCCGCCCTGCGCCCGCGGGCATCCCGGTCTGGGGCCGAGCCCGCGCGCGGGGGCAGCACCCCGCGCCCCCCGCGCCACGGCCCCGCCGGCCCCCCGCGCCGGGCGCGCGCGGACCCCCGGCCGGCGAGCAACAAGCGGCGCCGGGCCCGGCCCCGGCCCCGGCCCCCGCGGGCCCCCCGCCCCCCACGCGGGCCGCGCCACCCGGACGCGGGGGCCGGGAGCGCCGCGGAGACTCACCCCCAGTTTCCTGCTGCGGATCTTCACGTAGCCCTGCTTGACGATGTCGTTAAAGTTGGAGGCCATGGCCCGCGCGTGGGGCCGGCGCGCGCCGCGCCCGCCTGGCCGCGTCCACGGGCGCCGTCCGCCGCGCTCGCATCAGCCGCCGCTGCCGGCCGCCGGCGGGGACGCGGGGACGCGGGCGGCCGCGCGCGGGGAGCGCGGGGAGCGCGGCCCGGCGCCGCCCGCCGCGCCGCCCTCCGCGTCCGGGTGCTCGCCCGCGCCCCGCGCCGCGCGCTGCGGGGCCCCTCGCCCGCCCCGGCCGCACCCGCCGCGCCGGCGCCCGCTCGGCGCTCAGCTGGCCGGAGCGCACCCGGCTCCCGGCGCGGGGAGGGCGGGGCGGCGGGGCGGGCCGAGCGCCGTCCGGGCTCCCCCCGCGGGGTGGCGGGGCTCCGCGACGCTCGCCAGACGCGCTCCATCGCCCGCGCCTCGGCGGGGCCGCTCCCGCCCCCGGCCCCGCGCCGCCCGCGCCCCCGGCCCGCGCGCTCCCCGGGCGCCCGGTGCCCGCGGACACTCCCGCCGCGCCCCCTCCCCGGCCGGGCGCCCGGGCGAGGGGCGGCGGGGGCGCTGCCGGGGGGAGGCCGCCCGCGCCAGACAATGGCTCGTTTCCAGGGCCGCGTTTCCAGGGCATTCCGGGGCCGGAGCGCACGCTGCGCCCCGGGGCTCTGCCCGCTTCGGAAGGGGCCTCGACGCCGCCCGGCCCGGCGCACACAAAGAGGCCGACCGTGCGCATGTGTCTCCCCCGAGCCGGGGAGCCCGGGAGGCCCCGGCCCCGAGCCCCGAGCCCCGAGCCGCGCGCGCCGCGGGCACCGGCTCTGCGCGCCCGGAGCGAACTGTGACTCGGAGCGGCCCCGGGCTTCCCTCTGCGGGGCGCGGGGAGACCGGAGCCCTCGCGGCGGCCGCAGACAATGGGCTGCCGCGGTCCACGCGCGAGCACAAAACAAGGGGCGAACTTTCTCCCCTCCGCGCAGGGGCGCAGGACCTTTCAAAGTGGGCGGTTCTCCTTGGTGAAGAAATTGGAATTTAGGAATTCTATCGTTTTCCAAGACTCCGGGAGCAATGGGGGTTATTGGGTGTTGACTGGCGGCGAGGTGCTTCTGTTTGCTGCAGGCAGGGTTCCCTAGTACCTCGTCGCCAAGGATGGGTCTCATCAGGGGAAAAATGTGCAATGACTGAGAAATGTGTGAAGTGACTCCTCCTTGATGAAGCGTCTATAGTCAATGAAAGTTCAAGAGATCGTGTTTATTTCTGCCCATTTTAGTGGGCAGTGTGTTTCCATGTTCTCAGTTAAAATTTCTAAGCCCTGTTAAGAACATAATCACGTTAAGGGACAAAGGAAACTGGTTAAGAGGAGGGAACACTTGAAAGCTGGAAGGACAATGTTCCCCCTCAGCCCACGGGCGATTTTTGTGTCTTCCTTGCAAGCGTCTCCATCTAGAGCTCACAGAACTCCATGAAAACTAACTTGTCTTACCAGCACACTCTTCCAGGGCTTTGATTTATGTGGCAGACATTTGTTTGGAAGATCAGCCCTGCAGAGGACCAGATGCTGGGGCGCAAACTCCCAACCCCAAGGACGATACCTTGGGCTGTAGCTCTGGAAGGAGCTGCAGCTCTGACCTTCCCAGAAAATTTGCTTTCAGTGCCAGCCAGCTCCCTGCCCCCTCCCTCGTCCAAATACCTTACCTGGGGCCTTGGGTCTAAGCCCTCATCTGCTGTGTGTCCTGTCTGGCTGTTGCTTCTTTCCTTCCCATGGAGAAGTCTTTTGACTGCAGGTGCTTTCGTGCATGTCTTTCATCCAGGCCTCTTCGTAAACCCATAGGTCAAGCAACCGATTCTTTCCATAGGTGAGGAAACTGAGGCTCAGATTTTCATTAACAGAATGACAATTCCAAGATGGATTTTAGGTTTCCAATAACTTCTGTGACCCCACATTTCCACTCTCATTTATGTCATAACCAGTTTCTCAAAGTCACTGGTAGAATATTTGAAGTCAGGGATTCATATTTGAATATTTGAATTCAGGGATCAGGTAGGGTGGGTAACTGGCATTTGATGATGAGATTTAACTCCCATCCTGATGTAGGTCTTTATAACACCCTCCTGTGAGTGAATTATGCCCATGTTTACTTCTGTTTATCTGTGTGTATCTTTAACAGCTACCCGCTCTCTCTCCCTTACACGTTTGTTTGCCTCTTGAAAATACTAAGTTATTTATCATGTAAACTTTCCCACTGAAGGATTTGGTTGATTTGGCTCCTCATGACATCAATTAATATAATCACCTGAGCCCCAAATTTCCTGTTAAATAGTAATGTTACTTGGAGATCTCATCCCATCAGAGGGACTGTGTTGTTCTACTGAGCCTTATCTAAAGGACCATGACCTGTGTCTGCCCACAGTCCCAAGAGCTGGGCATCGAGAGCTGGGGCCAGATTCCCTATATGGGATGGTTCTCCACCAACCTTCCACCTGATGGGTTTTAAAGCCACTATTGATCATTACCGAGATACATTATCTCAATAGAGATTGCAAAATTACAGTTCTCTAACTGATGTTATTCCTGAATTTGTGGACTATTTTCCTACGAAACCAAAACAAAACAAACTTTCCTCAAGTACAAGGTTGCCCTGAAAGAGATCCCTTAGAAGAAAGGCAGGGAGCATGCTTGATTCTAAACCTTCTCCACTCGTTTTTCAGAACTATGGCCTGGGCACCAGCACGTCCAAAGACAACCCTGTTCCCTTTGGAATATCACCAACAATAGTTGGGCATAGATGATCAATTTTGATGATGATGAATTTTTTATAAGTCTCCAAAGCTAGACCTATCAAACAAGATGTGCTGAGAGACAGCTGATTTCTCCTAGCTCTTCCACCTATCTGGACTTAGAAATTATTTTTATTGATTTTCTATTTATTCTTCATGGTTTCCTTTTGATGATATTTGCTCTTGCTTCTGTTTTTCTCCCACACAACACAAGAGAATCCTCTTCAACTTTTCCTCACTGCAGTAGACAGCCTCTGACCCGGCCCCAAAGAGCCCCACTTCATGGCCTAGGTGTGAGAGGGGCTCTGGGACAAGCTTCTAGAGATTTGAGTGGCAGAAGCAATGTGTGTCTGTCCTGTATTAGGTTAGAAAAAGACTGTACCTCTCTCTTAGTGATCTCTACTGAATTGCCTGGGGGAGGCAGGCTGCCCCACAATGAAGCAGCCCTGAGGGGGAACCACCTGAATGAGTTTGGAGGCAGATCTGAGCCTTTGCAATGGCCATTACAGAAGGGGGCTCCTCCCTATTCTGTTCTTATAAGGGCCTCACTATGGTAAGACAGAGGGACCCTGGGCCAGAACCAACCGTCCAAGCTGCCACTATTCTTAAATAACAGATACTGTAAGATAACAAGTGTGTTGCTTGCAATTATATTAATTTTATAATTTTTTTCCATGAAATGTGAATAAATGCATACATCTATAATATTTAATTTTTCTCATTTCAAATTATGACCTTGTTTTAAGTCATGTACTTTGCTAAAATTTTGCAGTTTTTTTAATAAACATCATGTTTATATATTTTAAGTTTATTCTTCACTGATTTTTTTTTTTTTGCTGTTGCAAATAATGGTTTTATAAAGAATTAGAGGATGAGAAATGTTCTCATAGAAACATCATTGAAATTTCTTATTTACAATTCATTTTCAGTTGGTGCTCTTGTGTTTCTTCAAATAATTTTGTCTCTTGTTTAATCTTTTTACCATTTTTGTATTGCAATGGATATAATTTCTCACACATATAATGTTAAATCATGGAAACTAGAGTAGTCAATCATATTTTTTATCTAAATGAGAATTTGGAGAGGGATTAATAATTAAGATGTTGAGTATTGACTAAGATAAAATTGTTCTTTCCATTTATATTATCTGAACTGTTTCTTAATCAAAAATGTTTGATGCTGGGGCCTCCCTAGCGGCCCAAGGGGTTATGCACCATACTATGAAGCTGTCCACAGCCTCTGCAGCATAAGTTTGATCCCTGGCCGGCCAGGGAGCAACCCACATGACGCAGTAAACCTCTCTTGTCTCCCCGCTGCTCCCCTCAGCAGTGTATTTCGTAGGTCTGCCTGTTCTGTTGCCTGCTGTGCCTCTAGTGAATCCTCCCACCCTCCACATCTCTGGCCTGTACCCCAGCTCTTGTCTACATAAATAAATAAATAAATCTTTAAAAAAAAACAGTTTGATGCTAAATGTCTTCATCAAGATCATAAACCATAATTTGTTTCTCAAGTATGATAAACTAAATATATTAATGCATTTATGCGTTTTGGCCCATCTTTGTTTTCCCATCAATATAACTTGTTTGGCCATGTTTAATAATTGATTTTATCTGGTGCTCAGTTTGATGGTATAATATAATTTATGAGAGTATGAATGGATTTTGCTTTGCATGCTTCCTGTGTGTCTTTAAAAAGGAAAGAGGGATATAGCAAGTTTTATTGTTTTTTGTATGCTCAGAAACAGTTTAAATATAGAAATGATCTGCTTTGTGGAGATTTGTCAGCATTTTCTGTCTCATATATTTGAGAAATTAATTTTTATTACCATAAACTTTTCCTGATTTTGATGGTCTCTCTGTGCATGCTAAATTTTCACCAGCCAATTTTAGGGATGTTTATCGTACAAAATCACAAATATCTTCATGGTTTTCAAATGAATAAGTTTTAAAATCTTTGATAGTTGCAGATGTAGCACCCATCAAGCATCTCACATCTTCTGTTCCTCACTTCCTTTCTGCCGTTCTTCTTTTTTTTTTAAAGATTTATTTATTTATGCATACAAGAATTGGGGTGTAAGCCAGAGGTGGGGGTGGTGAGAGGATTCACCAGATTCGGAGTGGGAAACAGAACAGGCAGACTGACCAAAATACGCTGCTGAGAAACGGGCGAGACAGGAGAGGTCTGCTGCGCTATGTACGTCATCTCCCTGCCCAGGGATCAAACTCTGGCCTCAGTGACTGTTAACAGCTTGATAGTGCCCTTGAGCCACCAGGGAAGCCCCCTCACTTCCTTTCTTATGATTTTGTTTATCAGATGC